GGGGGGGGATGTCAGTTTAAAGCTAGATAATGGCTTTACAACATGTAACGACTTATGCGACCTATACTATTCAGTTTTAATTTTAAGTTCCCGATTTTCATTTTCTTGAACTGTCGAAAATTTCGAGAAAAATCCCTTTGAAATGAATTTTCTGTGAGCTTTTTTTCAATACTTTCAGACAGTTTTTAAAACTATCTGGTAAGCTTTTCATTGATCGAATAATTGTCGATTTTTTATTAAAGATGCTGTAGACGCAATAGAAAGCAAGCCTCAATTTATAGAGTGACATGTCCTATTCACAACGGTACCCTAGGTCTTGTAACAATCGAAATTGTGAAGAGATGTTTTTATTTAACAAGTATTAATTAATTTGCATATTCATTAATTAGAATTTTCTGCATTTAAAAAAAAAGTATTAAACTTGATTATCAAAGTTTCTAAATATTCTTATTAGAATTTTAGGAATTTTAATATTTAATAATTACATTTTGTTTTTAAATTCCATAGAAAGTTATGCCGTGCCGGCTAATATTTATCTTCAAATGAAATAAACGGGGCTGACCCAGAAAATTCTGAACATGAGTTCACCCATCGCATCACTTTTTTGACTTTTAACTGCTGCTTTCTAAGCCGTATTCTTCGTATTACATTTTCGCCGATTTTTCTGTTAGAATTATAATCCAAAACTTGGATACAAAAAAGACACCAAATTTATATACAAATTTATATATATATATATTTATATATATATACATAAAAACGATCTCAATATTTCTGATTCAAAAAGTTGAGTCCATTAATGTATATATATCAAAATATCATTATAAAAGTTGAGTCCATTAATGTATATATATCAAAATATCATTATAAAAGTTGAGTCCATTAATGTATATATATCAAAATATCATTATAAAAGTTGAGTCCATTAATGTATTTATATCAAAATATCATTATAAAAGATATCAAATATTAAAATCAAGCATTATAAAATAACGTTAAGAAAAGATTTATATATAAAAATGAGCGAACCAGTTTAGAACCCTGCATAATGCACATTAAAAAAACAAGAGATATTTGACGAAATATATTACTGTTTAGTTCGGCCATCATTTGTCCTCTAAAATTACGTGTTTGACTTTGAATTTTTGTGAAATATATTTTTTAAATAACACAACTCTAGCGAGCTCATTAGTGTCATTTAGTATATTTTCGTTGGAACAATAAGTTGTCAGGGGTTGTGTTTTCAAAAGTACGCTTAGTAATACACAAAAAAGTTCACAATATTTTTGTTAATTATAATAAAGCAAAAAAAGTAAGACACTTAAGATCAAACATCATCGAAAAATATTAAGTTGTAAAAGAAGCACAGAAAACCAGTTTTATTATGAATATTGATTATAATAGATAAATTTAAATCCTTGTTTCTCCGTACTTATATACTTCACAATCGTTAAACACTGAATGCATTCACAGGGCAAGAACAGTATATTTCGTTAAATAGAACTCGGGTTGCCACAATACTATTTTTCTCTATACTCTAACTTGTCTCATTTTTACTCTTCATTGCAAGATTAGGGACGGTAGGAAAGGTTTAATGTTAAAAGGTTCCTTATTATGACTAAAAATTATTCCAAATAAACAGTGACAGCGCCTTTAACCTGTGTTGTACTAAAGTCATGAATAACCTAATGTTTCGTAACAGGATTTAGGTTGATAAACTCATGAGCTGTTACTTTCTTCTTGTATCGGTCAACTTGAAGATATTTCAACTATTTGAGGTCTACAATATAAAATACATTAGACTAAAATACAGGCTGTCCCAATAAATATAGGAATTGAGTGAATTTGTTTGTTTATGCTTTGGTTGCATACTTATACGCTAATTCTTAACAAAGACGATTTTGAATTAGTCACTTAATTCCCATGTTTATTGGGACACCCTTTATAAACTAACAGCGGTCTAGTTCTATTCTGTGATAAATGATACGCAGAAAAAATTCAATGATAACGTCATTATGATAAAAATTCAAGATAGTTAATTTAAGGAATTATACGCTTATCTTTACTGTTTGACAATGAAAATTCAGATTAAGAAAAACATTTTCTTTTCTGATATACACAGTTCTGTGAAAGGTTATCCTTTTATAATAATAAATTAATAATAATAATAATACTAAAAATAAACATATCTATTTTAAGTTATCCGGCTCACGGTTCTAAAGTTTGACCCTTGTCCCACAAATCTTTGAATTTCGATCGGAATTGTACCTCTTAAACATTCATTTTTCGCCTTTTCTCCTTTTTATATTTTGTAGGCGAATATGGTTTTAAATGAAAAGTGTATGAAGACAACTCCGTGGGTTTAAATATTGTTGAATTAAAGACCAAAACAAGATTAAGGAAACCGAACACGTCTCCATCTGGTTAGTCCAGTGCAGGCTTTTATGTTCGTCTTTTATTACTATATTTAATACATAAAAGGACTTGTGATTTTTTAATGCAATGATTTGCTATTTTGTTGCTTGCTATTCCGCGCTTCCAAAAGAATAAAAAGCATCTTGCAAGAACTAAATTGAGAACCAAAAACTCTGGCATAGAAAGACGACTTTTAGACTCAAGTTATGACCTTTAATCGTCCAATAAACATAAAATAACGTTATTACTATATAATGACAATATTTGCTTTAGAATAACATCAAATGCACTTGAGTGTGTAATAATGTCGTTTTCTGGTTCTCACTGTATAGGAATACAATTTGGTAAAATTCAGTAAACATATTGCTAAGCAATTCAAATTTATATCGTTCTGTCGTTTTTATTTCTTTGATGCACGTCTGTAAAATTTTAAAATGTATTATCTCGTATTTATTTACCACCCCATAGACTCTATAGTATGCATATAAAGATAGTGCTCACTATAGTTTTCAGATAGTATGTGCACAGTCAGTTCTGAATCCTGCACACATTGTTCAAAGAAAGTAGGAAGGAAGTGTTCCAACTGCTGCAAAGGAAAACCATCAAAATTCATTTTTAAAAATATTCTTCCAGCATTATTTTTGAGTTTTCCCAGATTTTTCTGGGAAAACTGATTTTCATGATAAAATGATTCATTACAGCATTGTGACGCATTATATTGAAAAGCTAAATTTTGACGAATAAATTAGAAAGAACAATGACATGGTGCAATGAATAAAATGTCTAAGTCCTTCAGTTTAACACTTAGCATCCTATAAAGTATACGATGTAAAATATATGATTTTTGTTTGCAGTGGAGGCAAAAAAAATCTTTATTTTTAAATAATACTTTTTTCACTCTTTTTGTTAGTTTCCATAAAAAAAGAATAGAAAAATATAACTTTTATAATTTCTAATTCTAAAATTATTTAAATTGTCAAAGATGATATTTAAAAGTATTCATAAATAATCAGGTTTGAGGACCTCTATGCTAAAAATGTCTGAAAGTCTGGCGGGCAGTGCCGGTAGGACCATATCTGAAGTATAAAGTTATATACATTAGAAAATTAAAATGAAAGTTTTTGTATAAATTCGAATCTGGTAATATTTGATGTGTTCGTTTTCAGTTAACTACTGTAGTTCAGAGTGCCAGCGAGCCGATTGGGCCAACCATAGAAGCAACTGCATGCCGGTCAGAGTAGAGAATGTGGGCACTTCAGGTATATTCAATATATGCATGTTTGTCCAATAATTGGCATGACTACAGTCTGATATGATGATAAAGTGCAACTTTAGAAAAGAATGTCGTCACTTTTTAGTCAGAAAAAACCTACGTCAAGCCAAACCAAAGAAAATTGTACGTTATTGAAATCTTTTGGAATCTCATAAGAAAAAAACAATTTTTAATTTCTAATATGAAAACGGACATGTTCGTAAAAATTTGCCTTAACTTATTGTCAAATTTTAAGGTCTTTATAGTAACACAAATTCCTGGTTTACGTCTCCCTGAACCCTGGTTAATGTATCCCTGAACCTTGGTCTACGTATCCCTGAACTCTGGTCAATGTATCCCTGAACCTTGGTCTACGTATCCCTGAACTCTGGTCAATTTTTCCCTGAACCCTGGTCAATTTATCCCTGAACCTTGGTCTACGTATCCCTGAACTCTGGTCAATGTATCCCTGAACCTTGTTCTATGTAGCCCTGAATCCTGGTCTATGTATCTCTGATCCCTGGTCTATGTATTTCTGATTCAGGTCTCCTGAACCCTGGTCTAGACTCTAGGTACCCCTGAACTCTGGTCAAGACTCCAGGTTTCCCTGAACCCTGGTCTAGACTCTAGGTACCCTTAAACCCTAGTCTAGACTCCATGTTTCCCTGAACCCTGGTATAAACTCCAGGTACCCCTGAACCCTGGTCTAGACTCCAGGTACCCCTGAACCCTGGTCAAGACTCAAGGTATCTCTGAACCCTGGTCTAGACTCAAGTTAACTCTGAACCCTGGTCTTGACTCCAAGTATCCCTGAACCCTGGTCTAGACTCCAGTTATCCCTGAATCCTGGTCTAGACTCTAGGTACCCCCTGAACCCTGGCCTAGACTCCATGTATCCCTGAACCCTGGTCTAGACTCCAGGTACCCCTGAACATTGGTCTAGACTCAAGGTATCCCTGAACCCTGGTATTGACTCAAGTTAACTCTGAACCCTGGTCTTGACTCCAAGTATCCCTGAACCCTGGTCTAGACTCCAGTTATCCCTGAATCCTGGTCTAGACTCTAGGTACCCCCTGAACCCTGGCCTTGAATCCATGTATCCCTTAACCATGGTCTAGACTCTAGGTACCCCTGAACCTTGCTCTAGCCTCTAGGTGAACCCTAGTATAAGAATAATAAAGAAATAGGTTTTGTTTTCTTGAAATATGCTGATGTTTACTTCCATGTTAATCATTGTATGTAAATTACAAAAATAAGGTTGGGTCTAGGATTGTTCAAACCAAGGTTGTATAATAAGGTTGATTTACTCTTGATGCGCTTCAATGTACGAAAAATGTCGTCTCCTAAGATATAAAATTTTGATTTACCTATCCAGAAGACATTTTGTGTACATTGCAGCGCATCGAGAGTAATTAACCTTATTATACATTCTTGGTTCAGACTAAATTATCCTAGAAAGAGAGTGACACACTAATCATGATAATATTATGACGACTTTCCTTAGATCTGTGATTGATATTAAATCAAAATTTGGCATAAAATGGAAATTATAAGAGAGCTAAAACGTGGTTTATAGTTATTCAAAGTTTTTTTTAAAAGATGGTATTTCATTCTGAACAAACCTTTTTGACACAAAAAGGGGGGTCGCTGCCTGAGTTCCATCTTCGATAGAAAGAAAAGGATGCAAGAGCACCGTCTCCCCATCTTAAGCATCACATTTTTTTATTTAAAAAACAAATATTTCAACAAAAATTGCATTTTCATTGCATTTTTAATTCTAAATTCGATTCACCCATTCATTTATTGTTCAACAAAAATCAGAATAATTTTTCAAAAAGAAATTTATGGCTAAATTTATCTTGTACTATGCAGGAAGAGGGCTGGTGGCTACAAGGAAAATTAAGGTAAATAAATTGTTGACGTAACAAGAGAGATAGAGAAAATGAGAGAATGATTTAACAGAAAATCACGAGAAAAAAATATTAATAGTTAAATAAACCAATTTTATATCAAATCATTCTTCTTCTTTAAAACTATTTATTAGCTAAAACATGGTTTAAACACAATTTAGAAGCTTTTCGCATTGAAAAAAATGTTAAAATATTTTTTGCCTCAAATGAAAATGTCACTATTGAAATATAGCAAAATAGAAAAATAAAAATAAATAACTTCTCATTTAGATCAAAATAATATGGCATGTCAAAGAAATAGTTCCTTGAACTTAAGACCTCTGACAAGATATGAGAAAAAAATAAATTTTGAGAAACTAAGAAGATTGAATTTTTAGAACCTTAACGCTTTTCGCTATGAATATATGAAAGGCGGGGAAAAATTGCATTAAAGATAAATTTTAAGCTTTCAGATGATGATTTTTTAAAAACATCCAGCTGCAATTGACGTTCACATGCATTCTAAAGTGGAATTTTAAATGCCTTCGTTCGTTTTACTGACAAATTTCTTTCCACTGTTTGCTAAGTCTTGTTTGATTTACAATATTTTACATCAGTCAAATATAGGGTCTTTAGGGTTTTTGGAGTTAATCTAAAAAAGCAAGTATGCAGTGTTGTTATATGATGATATAGTAACAGATTCACGATGAGTTTGACATCTTTCATGTAGAGCCTAAAAAAAATAGACTTTTTAAAATTTATTTAATCTTCTTTATTTTCCTTCCTACTTATTTGGTTTACATATTCAATATTCAAAGTTGGGTTTAATTTAACGTGTTAATTTTGGTTCTTAACTTCTTACTTTGAACCAAAGACTTTGCAATAGCAGATTTTAACTTCCATTTTTGTTATCGCGGTCGGAAATTCAAATTATCTTTTTTAAAGAACTAAATTGGAGGGATGAATTTTAATTACTAGACACACATATTTTTTACTTTTTAGTGATTTTAACCAATTGCATTTCATGATATAAATCTATTTTATCAACATCAAGTCCACAAAACATTAACTATATTTTGCATCTAATGATCCTTAATTGCAAACTGTCAAACTCAAAGCTTCCAGGGTGTGTCAGAAATCAAAAAAATTAAAAAATCATTATTAGTATTCTTGAATCATTTTCCAAGTTTGTTTCCCCCCCCCCCCCGACTTCTCTGACGTATGTAGATACTTGATGAGAACTAGTTCAATGACAACTAACTAGTGTTTAGAATTTAAGTGAAAATGTCGGTCGACGGTTTACTTGTCCGGAGATATTTTGTCTTTAAACGGAAATATACAAACTATAAAGCCCCCCCCCCCATTATCGCTGCATTAACGTTCTTAATTAACATTTGAGCTTTTTAATCATTGTCCATAACACTTTTGATTTAAAGATAAACTCGCGGATTTTTAAAATTGTCCCTTAAAGGGACTGTAAGGGAAAAATGAAAGGGGGTATAGGCTGAAAGTTAATCACTTTAGCTCTCGATCGCGACCCATGAAGTTATATCTGATGTTCCTGTCTCGAGAAACTGATTTACAACTTTGTCAAATTTATACGAAAATTGATATATATACAATTTTGTATAAAAGTAGTGGGTTTAGAAAGATCAAATTCAGCAAATATGCAACCAATCTGAAAACGATGATATCCCAGAGAAAGCTAATTGTAACTTAGGTTTACTCCAATTCTAATTTTATATTTTTTATTTCAATTTTGTATAGATTTAATATTATTTACACGTCCGTGTTGCTTGACTAGAAATTCCACCAATGGCAGTGCAGTAAAGTGGTCACGTGATACAAGCGGAGACATGTGACCAGTATACTGCCCTGCCATTAGTGATAGTTTTGGTCACGTGATTTAAGTTTAAGATTTTCTAAATTTTACATATATGAACTTTTGTATAATTTTAACACAGTTTTATATCAATTTCTCGAGACAGGAACATCAGATAAAACTTTCATGGGATTAGCTTTCAGCATATACCCCCTTTTCTTTTTCTTTTACAGTCCCTTTAAGATATTTGTTAAATTTAAACAATGTACTGTTTCAGGGGTTCAATTGGAAATTTTGACCTTACCATAATTTATTTACTATGATAATCCATTGAAATTGGTCTGGGACAACATTACAGCAGTGTACTGAGGAGAAACATAGATAAAATATCAATGCGGAGGAACTGCTTAGTCAGATGCAATTCAAGAGTAAACAATTCTATTTAGAGTTCCGAGAAAGTAAGCAAGATCTACAGTTAGTTCAATTAAATACAGGGTTCAGAAAAAAGCAAGATCCTTTAATAATAGTTCTTTCTTGTAAAGTGGCGAACAACAAGGACATCCAAAAAAACTTTTTTTTTCAAAATTAGCCAAATATGATTGAAAGATGTACAAACAATAAGAAAATGAAGAACAAGAAATATAGAAATCTCAAAATACTTCCATCTGATATCATATAAATATTTTAAAATATTGTAAAATGTAATCAAAATAAATTATTCAAGTTAAGAATCTATAAGGAGGAACTATAAAGTGTGACATACATACATACATACATCACGTGGATTTAACGGTTCGGTCCTTGTCCCAGAGAACTCTGCAGGGACCAGAGAGCGTTCTGAATTTTATAAATCAAGGAGTATCAATATATTCAATATCTTTTTATAGATGGGAGAGTTAATAATCAGAGAAACCGCAGCCATTGCTCTCCCAGCAGGAAAGAAAATGTGACAATGAGAACAATTTAAAGAAAATTGTTTTTGATCAAAGAAAAAGTTTTCATTTTAAATTTTTCTGCCCTGTTCCAAAGTGTAATTTCTTTTAGCTTCCCCTACCGCCTAGCAACATCAAATCATTAATCGCTTCATATAGTTTAAAAACCGGGAGTAAAGTACGTAATAACTGAGGACGTCAGCATAGTCTATCATTATGCAACTCCATTTTGCAAGATTTAAAAACCATTTTAAAAATCTGGTTTTGCTATTTTGTTTGTTACATAAGTTCTTAAACAGGAATTGGAATATGGGAAGCTGGGGAAAAAATCTACAGGTAAAATTAAAGTTTACACAAAGAAATGAGATCAATCACCACGACTTTTTTCATACTTTTTAGACAAATGAAAGGTATTTATTTAAACATTCCAGAATTTCCTACGTGAGTCATCAACGAATTTGAATTAAAAATATTTCTTTAGTTTTCAAGCAAAGATATTTACTTTGGAGAAAAACTCAGTGGGTTGAACGATCGGTTGAGATATACGAAACAAGTCTGTACAATGTACAGTTCTGAATAAGAAATGATACGTTTTTCTTTCTCTAATCAAAAACTCAGTGGTAGGGGTTGAACGATCGGTTGAGATATACGAAACAAGTCTGTACAATGTACAGTTCTGAATAAGAAATGATACGTTTTTCCTTCTCTAATCAAAAACTCAGTGGTAGGGGTTGAACGATCGGTTGAGATATACGAAACAAGTCTGTACAATGTACAATTCTGAATAAGAAATGATACGTTTTTCCTTCTCTAATCAAAAAATGACTTCACCTCTGAAATAATATGCTCTAGGTAAATACTTTTCCTCTCAACCGCTCGGTGTCAAGTTTGTATGTTATGAAAATGTGTGTTCACAGTAGTTAAAGACAAGGAAGTTATATTAAAAAATGTGTGTTCACAGTGGTTAAAGACAAGGAAGTTATATTAAAAAATGTGTGTTCACAGTGGTTAAAGACAAGGAAGTTATATTAAAAAATGTGTGTTCACAGTTAAAGACAAGGAAGTTATATTAAAAAATGTGTGTTCACAGTGGTTAAAGACAAGGAAGTTATATTAAAAAATGTGTGATGCTTACTTTTATAAAATATTTGTGTTTCTATTGGTTGAAGACATAAAATTTATTAGAAGAATATATTTTAATTTCTTATTTTAAACAGCAAAGAGTCTAAACTTAGAATCTATCTTTAGAAAGTCCCCGGAAAAAAAGTTTCTGGAAAAAAACCTGGAAATAAAAAAATCCCAATTTTCTAAAGTATAAGGGCAAAATGTCACTGGAAATAAAGTCCTGAGTTTTAGATTCCTTTTTTTGCATGGTTGTAAACATCCTTTGTTCCCATGCATTTTTTACTAAAATAGGAGTTTTTTTTGCGGAGACATTTTTGAATAAAATTTACTGGAACCAGACTTTATTTTCAAAGAGTTTTTATTTCAAGGACTTTTTCACAAGACGTTTTTTAATGCCAAAATTTAGGACTTTATTGCAGAAAAGTTTTTTATATTACTTTTTCTGCGGTTACTTAACTGCCACACTCACAACCGCTCGTTTAACCCCTACCACTGTATTTTTCTTTAAATCGAATATATCATTGGTTTTCGAACAAGAATTCTGTTTTAATTCCAGATATTTTTCCTCTTTCAAAGCTAAAAATGAATTTAACTCTAGATATGTTTTGTTCAGACAAGTTGAAAAATTACCTAAACATCAGAGAGAAGAATTCTACCGTTTAACTAGAAAACAAGGTCTACTAGAAGTATCAGAGAATCTACTGAAAGCTTCAGGTATTTGTAGAACTTAATTTTACAGTGTATCAAGGAAACAAGGTCTACTAGAAGTATCAGAGAATCTACTGAAAGCTTCAGGTATTTGTAGAACTTAATTCTACAGTGTATTAAGGAAACAAGGTCTACTAGAAGTATCAGAGAATCTACTGAAAGCATCAGGCATTTGTACAACTTAATTCTACCCTTAAACAAGGAAACAAGGTTTACGAGAAATTTCAGAGAATCTACTGAAAGCATCAGGCATTTGTACAACTTAATTCTACAGTTTAACAAGGAAACAAGGTCTACTAGAAGTATCAGAGAATCTACTGAAAGCATCAGGCGTTTGTACAACTTAATTCTACAGTTTAACAAGGAAACAAGGTCTACTAGAAGTATCAGAGAATCTACTGAAAGCTTCAGGTATTTGTAGAACTTAATTCTACCGTTTCCAAGAAAACAAGGTCTACTAGAAGTGTCAGAGAATCTACGCAAACCTTCTGGTATTATGTAGAACACAATATTCTACCGTTAAACTAACTAGGTCAGAGAATCTACTGAAAAGTATTTCTGTTTATTTCTAAAAAAACTGCTTCTTTATAATATAATCTATGAAATGAATAAATGGAGTACCCTTTTTCTTCAGTTGCTGTCAACTACAAGTCTAAATTAATAAAACATTGATATCTTTTTTAAACACTTTAACCTGGTTGTTGTTAATAAAGTGAATATGTTCAGGAGATGATATGATAAGAACGGATATGGCCAAAAGTGTAGCAGAAAGAATACAGGTTAGACTGTACAATGTACACTGCACACTACATTGAAAAACTTGCACCGTACACTATACATTTAGCTGTATTCAAGATTTAAGCCGGTGCTCAATTGAGCCCGGTTTTAGCAGATTTGAGACGGGGCTTAAATTCATTAAATTCGGACACTGATTTCTTTTATTGAATCTGCGCAAATGTAAAGACCCCAAAAAAGAAAATTCGGTAGTTTTGTCCAACTCGTTCAACGATATTTTCTTCTGGCTCTGTCAATCTTCTAAGTACACGTAAACTTGGCACTAAAGCCAAATTTTGTTAATTTGATAAGTTTTTTTTGACATATTTAGACATCATCTTGGTTCAATGAAATAAGAAAATGAAGCATGTAATTTCGCACACTTGAAAGAAACATTCTTTATAAAAAGTACTCTGATTGATTTACTGTTAATTTCTTTTAGAATTAGTTATGAAATATATTTTTGGTTTAATATAATTTCATCTGATTTAATTTAATTTGATTTGATGTTTTCTTATTTGATTTAATTTGAATTGATTTAATTTGATTTAATTCCAAATTTTGTTTCAGGAGACAGCAATATTCTTTAATAATGATATCAAAACAGAAGATGAATGCAAGGAAATAAATAAAATCAAACTAAATTAGTTTTTTGCTTTCCAAATGTTTCAACTTCAGAATCATTATATCACGGCTTAGAAAAATTAATTAAATAAACCCAAGTTTGTTCAATTTGATCAAAGGAACTGAATTCTTGTGTCAAACTCTTATTTTCGAATCCTTATAACTGAATATATTATTTCAACGTTTGTGGCAAGTATTCACTTCCTTTGCCGAAATAAAAATGATTTTTTAATATTAAAGAATAAATACATTTATCTTTTAATACGAAATATGTCAAAGAATGTAGAAACGTATTAACAAAACATACAAATATGTTAATCCACCTTGTATGATTAATATTCAGATCAATTTAAAGCGTTTTTTCCTGCATACAATTTACAAATTCCTGCCCCAGGATGACAGCCGGTGATCGATTCAGAAAACGCTGACCGCGCAGTTATGATCTTCAAGTTCTTTAAAACTGTTTACGCAGTATTCCGGGGGTTGGATTCCATGTATTTCTTATTTTCAAAATTAAAATGATATTTTAAACATAGCATATGAGTTTAAAATTAATTACTTTTTTAATAATAAAAAGACAATAAAAGTTAAAAAATAATTTCGCAACGCAATTTCGATTGATTTCATATTGTTTCTACAAAAAAAAATAAAACACTAAGAAAACAATTGCAATTTATTTTTTATGTTACTTTTTTTAAAGGTAATGCATTACTTCTTTCTTAACCCTATCCCCGCTGGGGTACTTGAAAACCAGGATACGCTGGGGGGGGGGGGGAAATTTGACCCCCCCCCCTCTAAATCCCATTTTTATGTCCAAATATGACAAATGATACATCATTAGAAAGCTCTTGTGCAAATTTGCAAATTTGCAAATTTGCGAAAATTGAATTTTTTATCGCAAAATCCAGTTTTATAGTAAAAATGTTTGCAAAAAAAAAATTTGTCCAAAAAATGACAAATTATACATTTTTGAAAAGCCCTTGACCATGCCATTTCAAATATGCAAAAATTTTTGCAAAATTTTAAATAACCTGATTTTTAATCAAGAAAAACTAAAAATGTGCAAATTTCCTTTGACAGGTTGTTTGCAAAAAATTTGCAATTTTTTTTTCGCAAAACTTGTGCAATCCGTTTCCTTATGTCATAGGCTTTCCAAAAAGCTAAATTTTATCAAAATCTGACAAGTGAAAGTGGGTCAAAACAAAGATTTAGTTTGCTACAGGCAAAAGCAGTCATTCAGGCAGTGTGCCTGAGGACTCAGGCAGTTAGTATTAAAGCCCGGTTTTAGGCCTAAAGGGAGGGCTTTGGGTATGTAAGAAAAGTCAGAAAATTTCAACAGCCTCAGACCAATACTTTTTGAGTTATGTAAAAAAAACTACACGGGGGGGGTCCCCCCCCAGCGAGAATAGGGTTAACCTCCGATGTCCAGAGGTTAAGGCGTGTATCCTATTTAATAAATAGAACATGTCTAATCCTAAATATTTTCAAAAAAACTCTCATCACTCCTGTCTACAAAAATTAGAATAATCGGGATTTAGAAAATTTAACCAATTAAACCAGTCAAAAGTCAAATTTAAAATCTAAGACGTGTTATTTTACCGTTTTCACTTTATTTTCTCCTGTCATGACGTCATGAATAATGTCAAAAATGTAATCACAACACTATTTACATCTTTAAACATATTAATAGAATACATATAGCACTCTATTGAGGTATTATTGGGGTCATGCAAGTTGTCACAAAAAATTGTAACGAAAATTTGGACTTGATCGGTTCAGCCGTTTTGATGTTTATTGAATACAGAATACAGACAAATAAATGGACAAATATTGTCTTAGACAATTTCAAATTTAACTGTTTTTATTAACTTAAAAAAATTATATTAAAATTGTTTATTATTTTTGGTGTTCAGCGCTGAAAATGATAGGGTTTTGAAAACAATTTTTCCAACGAAAAAGCTTTTTGTTTCGTAGATATACGTTAAATTTTGGTTTAATAATTTAAGATTTATATTTATAAAATGTAGTGCTTGTTTCTCAAATTGGCGCTAACCAACCATAGCTGCTGCCCTAACAGCAGTTGGACAGGTAATGCAAATAAAAAACATTAAAAAATGTCCAAACAACTCATAATAGGAAAAAAAATCATTTTAACAGGTTAACGTCAAAAGCTGAACAACAATTATCCTACAACATTTTCCCCTCAAAATTTTAATATTCATGACAGTATTTGAAATTTCTGTAAATTCTGCAAAAAGAACTAAGATACTCATTTTTTCATGTTTCAAAAATGAAAATAAAAAGGAGCCCCTGCCCCACCCATAGTTGCCCCACTGCACCATGGGGTTCACAGTATTCAAAAAAAAAATTTCAGGTTGTTGTAAGAACCCCCGTCAATTAGAGCTCAGATCTGCCAAGGAAATCTTTGCTTAGTTTTACAAATAAAGAATATTTGAAAGCATGTTGGTTTATGCTATTACATTTTCTTCCAAAAGGAATTGAGTCTTTGACACAAACTCAAATTTTCTAATCCCTATTTGATATCTTTGCAAAACGATGTTGTAATTTTTTTTTTTTCTACGACATTGGATTGGAAAGAAATAGGAATTAAAAATCAGAGTTTGTGGCAAAGACTCAATTCCTTTATGTTGAAAACTAGATTAAATGAACTGTTTACTCGCCTTAAACTGTAATGTTCAGCTTTTCAACCTGATATTACCATTAATATTTTTAATTCCAACTTTTCTATGAGCAGAATTCATGGTTTTAATATATAAGGTCATCACTCATCAGACTGTAAAAGTATAAGAACTAGAACACAAGCTATAAAACACTGTTGAGGCAAGAAATGATATTAAATTAATGTGAAACCGGTTGTGTTTTATGAACCTATAATGACTTAAGTTTTCCGCTAGATATGTTTGCCGCGATCCTAATCAATGTTAATAACAATGTAGATCTCAAAGATTGTCAAGCACAATAGATGGCATTGGCATCAGAGAAGAGAACCAATTACACACAAAGTCACAAGTGCAAATATAGCAAGGAAAACGAAATGTTCTCACATTAGTTGACATGTTTTCCAAGATTAAATAAAAAAGTGTAAACACAGAAAATTAATTACACATAAAATTTGACTTATTTTACTGTAAGATAAGCACTTCATTTTAAAATTATCACTATTATTAAAAATTTTGTCAGACACAAAAACAAAGTTGACACTTGTAACGTAAGAATACAGCTGTACTGACTATTGAGAGTGTACAAATTCTACGTTGCCATCTATTGTACTAGAATATATTTGGTAGATCCAATTAAAATACAATCATGATTTAAGATTCATCCTCCCCTTGTACATTTTTGGGACCTTTCTATTTAAGACAGTGTTTAAAAGTTTCCAATTCAAAGTTTCAAATTTCTGCAATAAAGCGAAGACAACGTGAAGGATATAGAGGCTGGGGAGGAGGTTACTGTTAACTATGTAATTGTTGAGGCCAGGTTTCACGAGAAGGTAAAATGGATGATTTACTTCATGCACTATGTATTTTAATTAAGAACGCTTCCCGCCATGTGATTTACAATCTGCTTATCTTTTAATATTTGTTTATGTTGTGATTTTTTATTATTTGTGTGTTTTTTCTCCAAATGTTCTGCTCCGACAAAAATAAGATAATACTCCGATCTGGAAACTATCCATATCTCGCACAGAAAAATTAGAAATATAAGGCTCTTCCGGGACAGAAGGCGTAGTTTCATCTAACACTACATTTCCGATTCACAACAGTACCTTTTAAACCTTTGAATGATCAAGGATGACGGACTTATTTTTATTTGTCGACAGAAACTACTATAATTGTAACAATTAGAATTGGACCATTGACCTAATACTGCACCCTCTAGATGATCTAGACTATCTGGGAAAGTCAGGAATTGGGAATGCCCTACTAGATTCTGAACTGCACCCATCTACATGATCTAGACTATCTAGGAATATCAGGAATTGGATTCTGACTGGGATTTATATCTATCTAGTTTGGAGTACAAAGATTTATTTGTAAAATATAAATATTTTAGAGTCTTCGGCAAGCAAGATTATTGGACGGTTGGGGATTCCAGTGAGTATCCTTTTATTATTGTTATTATTATTATTATTATTACGACTAGCTGTGTATGCCCCCTGTGTGAGATATCAGGAGAAGATGAGGAGAGAGAGGAGAAAGAAGAGATTCAGGAGAAGGAAGAAAAAATAAAATCAGAAATTAGAAAAATTCAACAAGAAATGATTCAGGTAACAACATGGAATATTCTAAATTCTAATTTTTTTAAAATTCTGAATTAATTTTCTTGCTTAAAGGCAATGCATGGTGGTTGAACTGAGTACTGTAGTATTGTGGAGGAACTGCTTAGGATTATTTGTTTCTGTAATGTCTCATTGTTCACAAACGTTTCTGTAGATTTCCTGAAATTTTTATTGAAAAGACGACATTTGAAGAAATCTGCGAACAAATTCGTAAAGAATAAGAAATTCTATATAATGATGAAAAAGAAATAATTGATTCTAACATTGATTATTGACAGATTTCTATTTAGAAATACATTCCAAGCATCTAATTGGTTTACTGTGGAATATTTTTTACATTTTCGTCGTCCTTATTTTATAATTTAAAAAAATCTATTCTATAAAACGTAACCACCCAAATGAATGATTTTGAACGTCGATTTTGCGATCAAACGCAGTAATTTACATTATTAAAACGTTTTTATGCCTCAAATGAATCCTACAAAAATTATTCACAATACTACATTTTTACTTTAACTACCTTGCCGGTCACTACCTTTAAATAAGTTTTACAAATAGACTCTCAATCAATTTTTAGTGGGATATATTAAGTATTAATCTCTGTTTGTTTGTTTGTTTAAATGCCCCATAACTCTTAAACCCCTAGACCGATTTGCCTCAAGTTTTAATTGGGAAACCTTGAAAAACCACGGAAATGTTCTTATGTTGGTTTTTGAGATTCTTAGTTAAAGGGACTGTAAAGGAAAAATGAAATAGACTGAAAGCTAATCAATTTAGCTCTTGATCACTACCCATGAATGTTATATCTGATGTTCCTGTCTCTTGAAAGGGGTATAGACTGAAAGCTAATCACTTTAGCTCTTGATCACTACCCATGAATGTTATATCTGATGTTCCTGTCTCTTGAAAGGGGTATAGACTGAAAGCTAATCACTTTAGCTCTTGATCACTACCCATGAATGTTATATTTGATGTTCCTGTCTCTTGAAAGGGGTATAGACTGAAAGCTAATCACTTTAGCTCTTGATCACTACCCATGATTGTTATATCTGATGTTCCTGTCTCGAGAAATTGATATAAAAGTGTGTCAAATTTATACGAAAATTCATCTTTATATAAATTTAGCTTGCCTGGGTGTCTGTTTGTTTGTATCCTATAAACGTCAAAATGGCTGAACCGATCGGGCCCAAATTTTGTTTGGGACCTCACGTAACCCCAGGGAGGGTTAATGAATGTTCAAAATTTAAAAAATTTGCCTCCATAAAAAATCGATTTTCATTAAATTTTTGAAAATTTTTAATATACACGAAATTATTTGTTGAAATCCGCGAACTTTTTTCGTTTTGTTTTGCAATGTACACAAAGAGAACATGTTCACAATTAAAATAGAAGATGGGCGCAAAGTGCCCTAAAAGCCTAGTATATATACAATTTTATATAGAAACAGTAGATTTAAACAGATCACATTCAGCAAATCCACGACCAATCTAAAAACGAAAATATTCCAGAGAAACCTAATTGTAACTTTCTTCAATTATTATTTTTATAATTTTTATTTTTATTTTTAATAGATATAATTGATATTATTATTTACAAGTCCATATAACTGCATACTGCACTCTCATGGGCGGGAGTTCTTGTGACATAATACGGACTTATAAATAATATTATAAGTTATTTATCAAAAATAAAAGTAAATATTATAAAATAATAGGAGAAAACCTAAGTTACAATTAGGTTTCTCTGGAATATCTTCGTTTTTAGATTGGTTGCCGTTTGGCTGAATGTTATCTGTTTTAACCTACTATTTTATTACAACATATATTATTTCATATAAACATGATACAGTTTTATATCAATTTCCCGAGACTGGAACATCAGATAGAAGTCTTATGGGTCGCGAGCAAGGGCTAAAGTGAAAAGCTATCAGCCTATATCCTCTTTCATTTTTCCTTACAGTCCCCTTAAGGGCAGGGTCGACATTTATAGGGGAAAAATGACTAAAATCGTAATTTACTACTAAACGGCGGGGGTAACTATGAGTACCCTGGGCAATCTGGGTTGCTAGTTTTGCGATATTTTTCTAGTCTACAGAAAAAAGAACACACCAAACACACACATGTTATTGTCAAGGAATGTGATCGGAATCCAGCACTTGTTTCTTGGAAAGCACTTGCAAGGTAAAAACGGGATTCTTAATAAATATTTTTTAATATTGATATGAGATCAGCTAAATGACATGTTTTCCTCTAAAGGTTATAGGATGTAAATTCAAATAGAACCAGCCTGGAGTCAGACCGTATATGATCAGGCGGGTCAGTCCAAACCAGGACCGCAAAGGGCAAGGGATATTCAAATGTACACCGGTTGTGCGTGGAATTTGTGTGGATATTATTAATCTTGATCGCTTGATATTGCTATCCAATGTAGGCACTTTTCTGAGTTTTAATATGTTCTTGTTTTTACAGTTTACAGAAGGATATAGTGGACTTAGTTTCCCAACTTGAATCCGCTCAACTACTCCTCTTCAGGTGACAAGGTTTTTATTATCAACTAATCGTTCGAAATGTATTTTAGGGAGCTACATAGTTTGTTTAATCGTTTCTTAATATATTTCAGGGATTTTAATTATTTATTTTATCGTCTCTTAATATATTTAGGGAGCTGTATAGTTTATCTAACCGTCTCTAAATATATTTTTGGGAGCTAAATAGTTTGTTTAACTGTCTCTAAACATACTTTAGGGAGCTGAATAGTTTGTCTAACTGTCTCTAAACATACTTTAGAGAGCTGAATAGTTTGTTTAACTGTCTCTAAACATACTTTAGGGAGCTGAATGGTTTGTCTAACTGTCTCTAAACATACTTTAGAGAACTGAATAGTTTGTCTAACTGTCTCTAAATATATTTTAGGGTGCTAAATAGTTTGTCTAACCGTCTCTAGATATATTTTAGGGAGCTAAATAGTTTGTCTAACCGTCTCTAAATATATTTTAGGGAGCTAAATATTTTGTCTAACTGTCTCTAAATATATTTTAGGGTGCTAAATATTTTGTCTAACCGTCTCTTAATATATTTTAGGGAGCTAAATATTTTGTCTAATCGTCTCTAAATATATTTTTGGGAGCTAAATAGTTTGTTTAACTGTCTCTAATCATACTTTAGGGAGCTGAATAGTTTGTCTAACTGTCTCTAAACATACTTTAGAGAGCTGAATAGTTTGTCTAACTGTCTCTAAACATACTTTAGGGTGCTAAATAGTTTGTCTAACCGTCTCTAGATATATTTTAGGGAGCTAAATAGTTTGTATAACCGTCTCTAAATATATTTTAGGGAGCTAAATATTTTGTCTAACTGTCTCTAAATATATTTTAGGGAGCTAAATATTTTGTCTAACCGTCTCTTAATATATTTTAGGGAGCTAAATATTTTGTCTAACCGTCTCTAAATATATTTTAGGGAGCTAAATATTTTGTCTAACTGTCTCTAAATATATTTTAGGGAGCTAAATAGTTTAGTGAATCTATCTCAGCTAGCTAGGGACGAAGAACAACTAAACCAGGTAAAAAATAACAATGTCTTGTTGTAACACATAAATTTCATTAGAAGGAGATGATTCATTTAATGTTTTGTCCCATTCTGCATTATATAGTCTGTATATGTACTGTACCTGTGTACAGCTTGCTTTAGCTGCTAAAATTCGGCCCGGTCTTTGAAATGAGCCGCAGTTTACAGTGACACATATGGTGTGTACCACTAAACAGGATAAATTAAAGACGAGCAAGTAAAATAAAGAATTAGCCTAGTGGGCTTTAATTCTGAAACCGTTATTTAGCTCACAAAGCATAGTTTTGATTAAATCAAGGTCTGTTTATTGCTTTAACGAGTATATAACCTTATTTAAACTAAACGCCTTTTCAGTATCATATTTAAGCCTATTCAATACAATATTTAAGCCTATTCATTATCATATTTACGCCTAGTCATTATCATATTTAAACCTATTTACTATCATATTAAAGCCTATTCAGTATCATATTTAAGCCTATTCATTATCATATTTAAGCCTATTCATTATCATATTTAAGCCTATTCATTATCATATTTGAACCTATTCAATATAATATTTAAGCCTGTTTATTATCATATTTAAGCTTTTTCCTTCTCATATTTAAGCCTATTCATTATCATATTTATGCCTATTCAATATCATATTTAAGCCTATTCAATATCATATTTAAGCCTATTCAATATCATATTTAAGCCTATTCAATATCATATTTAAACCAATTTAATATCATATTAAAGCCTTTTCATTATCATATTTAAGTCTATTCATTATCATATTTACGCCTAGTCATTATCATATTTAAACCTATTCATTATGATATTTAAGCCTATTCATTATCATATTTAAGCCTATTCAATATCATATTCAAGCCTATTCATTATCATATTAAAGCCTATTCATTATCTTATTTAAGCCTATTCAATATCATATTTAAGCCTATTCATTGTCATATATAAGCCTATTCATTATCATATTTAAGCCTAGTCAATTTCATATTTAAACCTATTCATTATCATATTAAAGCCTATTCATTATCATATTTAAGCCTATTCAATATCATATTTAAGCCCATTCATTATCATATATAAGCCTATTCATTATCATATTAAAGCCTATTCAATATCATATCTAGCAGCAGTTAAATTATCTTATTTAGTGAGACACACTATAGGTCTAATAAACATATTTGATTGAATTATAGCTCGTTAGATTTGTCCTGTCTTGCATTTGTCTTGTCCTATTTTGTCCTGATATCTTCTGTGTCCTACCCTCTAGATTCTTCCTGTTTTAGAGTTTAGAGGATTGGGGTCAGCTGTTGAAAAAACTCAATGTAGAGAGAGCTTGGAAGGATTATAGGTCTTGTTTAGGTAAACATCCTACATATTATATATCCTGTTTAGGTAAACATATTATATATCCTGTTTAGGTAAACTTATTATGTATCCATTTTATGAAATAACTCTTTTTGGTCGAAATCCAGAAAAAAAGAGCAGATTAAGCAGAAATAAAAAAAAAAAATTTGTTTAAAACTAAATCAGTTTGTTTAAAACTAAATCAGTTTGTTTAAAACTAAATCAGTTTGTTTAAAACTAAATCAGTTTGTTCAAAACTAAATCAGTTTGTTTAAAACTAAAAAAGATTTTGTTCAAAACTGAGAAATTTATTTAAAAATGAGAACACTTTGAACATAATGTGTAGAATATAAATATTAGTGAGACAATCTATACGTTCACAATTTCAACAAAATGTTCGTAAATTCTAATTATTTTCGGTAGTTGATATTACATACAAAATGTTTACGGTTTCTAACATTAATCAATATAAAATCAAAAAATATAACTTTATAAAAAGTTTTTTGATAATTTCAGAAAAGCTTGATTCTTACAAGAGTTCTCTACACCTGGGTAATCCTCCAAGCGATACTGAAATTAGACAATTTCTTTGGCTCATGTGATCTTTTAAACTTTTTCAAGCAGAGGTTTAACTAGGGTGTGTTATATTGGAGGGAGATAGTAAATTGTTTTTTTTGTGCAAGCTTTTGGCGAAAAGAGTTAAATCTTAGAATTTCGAAACGTGAAAGCAAATCATTTTAAAATTTTAACCACTTAACTCAGAGGTTTAAACTCAAATTGTTTAATCCCTAAATCTTGATCTAACAGAATTCAAGATTTGAAATAACAAGGTCTACGACATGGGCTTGCATAGATCAGAGCTTGCAGAACAGAGTAAAAGATACACTTTCTCAATTTCTGTTGGATTGCTATCCAAATATACCTCTCCACCCACCCCTTTCCTCCTTGGTTAAGCCCTTGCTTTCAACGGACTGTCTGCGAGTTTTTAGGGTGCAATCTCTTCCTTTTTTTGAAATCATAATTTACATTTACGTCAAAAGGTTTTGCATTTTTTATTAAAAAATACCATGTTTTTTCCTGGTCCAAAGAAAAAAAACTAAAATGTTTAAGAGGATTTAAAAACTTCCTGTATACATACAATCATTAGCTTCCTCGTTTTATCAGACATAATCTTGGTTCTACTTAAAACTCGGGCACAATCCCTTTTATACTATCATAAATATTAAATACTTGTAAAGAAAGAGAATATTTTTGTAAATGCTTTGAGACAACAAACAATGCAACTTTATATAAACTAAATTATTTTAGAATGCATTCCATCAATCCATCCAATACAGTAAATAGTAATTTTAGAAAACTGCAAAACGTTCTGAATAGAGTGCGGCCCATAAAAGTGTAGAATGGGTAGACTGTTTGACCAATGTTTAGATTTAAGAAATTGTTATGAACATGAATCAGAGAAATTGTGCAGTGTACACAGAACATTTTATTAAATAAGTTAATTGATATTGGTATTAAACACATGTAAGATTGTCTAATTGATATTGGTATTAAACACATGTAAGATTGTCTAATTGATATTGGTATTAAACACATGTAAGATTGTCTAATTGATATTGGTATTAAACACATGGAAGATTGTCTAATTCTCGCCGGTATATTTCACAGTTTTATCGGTTTCACTGTATGTTTCACTGTATGTTTCACTGTATGTTTCACTGTATGTTTCACTGTATTTTTCACTGTATGCAATTGTCTAAAAAAACTTTAAAATGTATAAAAGGCTCAACATTTTTTGTCATATTGTGGGATTTTTAATTTTTTTTTAACAAAAAATGTTATTTTAAAACTCTCATCAATTGAAATAACTTTGAATAATATCTAAATATTTATTGAAAGTTTTAAAAGAAAATATTTAGCTTTGAATGATCATCTTACTATTAGAGAGAATGAAGTAAATATTTGATAATTTTTTCGATTTCAAAAACCTTAATGGGCGCTTAAGACAGATTAAATTTTATATTGATGATTTATTTTTGCCAATTTTAAAGAATTTTAAGAATCTATAATTCAGTGTTAATATTTCAATTTTAAAGAATTTTAAGAATCTTTAATTCAGTGTTAATATTTCAATTTTAAAGAATTTTAAGAATCTATAATTCAATGTTAATATTTCAGTTTTAAAAAAGCTTAAATCATGAATGAATAATTTCCGTGCAAATTTTTTTTTATTTTAATGATTCTCCAATAGTGATAATTTATTTGTTAAAAAATAGATATTTGTTTTAGAATTTAAGAAAATCTAAAATATTATATTGTTTCTTCATTTACGTTATTTTTTATTGTAATTATGTTATTCATATAGTTTAAGAAATATATCTTACCATTTTAACTATCTCAACTAACTTCCTTTGCTTTCTGTACTATCTTAATTACCCTTACTACCTGTAATATTTTAATTCTCTTTACTTCCTGTACAATCTAAACTCACTTTACTTCCTGTACTATCTGAACTCCCTTTACTTCCTGTACTATCTTAACTCCCTTTACTTCCTGTGGTATCCTAACTTCCGTTGCTTCCTGTACTATCCTAACTACCCTTACTACCAGTACTATTTTAACTCTCTTTACTTCCTGTACTATGTTCCTGTGCAATCTAAACTCCCTTTACTTCCTGTACTATCTTAACTCCCTTTACTTCCTGTGGTATCTTAACTTCCGTTACTTCCTGTACTATCCTAACTACCTATTACTTCCTAATTTATCTTAACTACCTTTACTTCCTAATTAATATCCTCCCTATCTTCCTGTAATAATTACAACATCCCTTATTCACAACTGAAAACATGTATTCCTATTAAAAGTTAATTAATAACTATAAAACACTGTAATCCGGAAGTTTACCTTTGACGAGAACATCTATTTATCAAAACATAGGATACTAAAAAATTCATTAAAGAAAACGCCCTTGATCCTTTCCATCAAGCTGGCCGATTCTTCACCCCCTCCCTCCCAAACTTCCCCCACCCCCCTCCCTACTCCATATCATTTAAATGATTCAGGGAATACTCGTCCCGTTTTCCCATTATTCTTACGATTGTACTTTTCATTTCTATCATTCTTTAAATAAACTTTCCCTCATCTGCATTCATTTTCTAGTTAAATCTTTATCTTTTCTCCTTATTATTGTTAAATCCTTTTTCGCTTTCACTTTAACCCTCCCTCTATCTTATATTCCGTTTACCATTCCCTCATTCTCAAAGGTTGCTTAAACCCTCCCCTCAATTTTCAAGTTTACCTTAACCCTTCCCTAATTATTTAAGTTTACTTAACCCCTCCCCTCATTCTTCAAGTTTACTTTACCCCTCCCTTCATTCTATAAGTTTGCTTTACCACTCCCCTCATTCTTTAAGTTTGCTTTACCCCTCCCCTCATTCTTTAAGTTTGCTTTACCCTTCCCCTCAATCTTTAAGTTTGCTTTAACCCTCCCCTCAATTTTCAAGTTTACTTTACCCCTCCCCTCATTCTTTAAGTTTGCTTTACCACTCCCCTCATTCTTTAAGTTTGCTTTACCCCTCCCCTCATTCTTCAAGTTTGCGTTACCCCTCACATTCTCCCTTCAATTTTCATGTTTACTTTACCCCTCCCCTCATTCCTTAAGTTTGCTTTACCCCTCCCCTCATTCTTCAAGTTTGCGTTACCCCTCACATTTAAGTTTGCTTTTTTTTCCTTATTCATAAAGTTGGATTTTCCTCTTTCTTTATTCGTCAATATTGCTTTTCTTCTTCCCTTATTCTTAAAGTTTGTCTTTCCTCTTCCCTTATTCGTCAAGTTTGGGTTTCTTCTCTCTTTATTCGTCAAGTTTGGGTTTCTTCTCTCTTTGTTCGTCAACTTTGGGTTTCTTCTCTCTTTATTCGTCAACTTTGGGTTTCTTTTCGCTTTATTCGTCAAGTTTGGTTTTCTTCTCTCTTTATTCGTCAAGGTTGCTGTACCTTCCCCTCATCCTCTAAAGTTTCTTTTCCACTCCCCATATTCTTGAATTTTACTTTACTCATCCTTTCGCGCTTAAAGCCTTTAAATCATTGAAAGAAAGCCGGTATTAAGAGCAAAGCGTTAACAGAAAAACCCTGGTGTTTGTGGCCATTTCATCTATATATATATAAATAACGTAGTAATTAATCTCTGTTTGTTTGTATGTCCGAGGATAACTCAGGATCCCTATGACCTATTTAACTCAAATTTTAATTTTTGGAACTCGGGAGAACCACGGGAATGCAACGCTGGGCACTTCAGCTAGTTCCAGATGAATATTTATATTATCTGTGTACGCCTTTGTCACGTGCTACGCACGCATTATACTTAACTATATTGAGATGTTTTACAGACTATCTACCCTACTCTAACCTCCTCCAGAGAAACCTAATTGTAACTTTCTTCAATTA